TTTTGTTGATCTGGGGTAGGGCTAGGCATCTTTATCTTTTTTAGGAGCTTTCCATTTGAATCAATATTTTTAAAGGCTAAGACAATTGAATGGGCAACCAGACCCCTTTACAGGCTGGAACTATTCCGAAGGAAACCACGTAGAAAGCCACTAGTTTTTACAGTCAGGAATATGTTCTTCTGTGGCATTACCAATGACACCAGGCCAGGCTGGCTTGCAAGGACAGCTCTGCTGAGCTGGAATGTGAGCAGGCAGTGCCAGGACCCATCAAACGCACCTGGCCGCTTGGGAGAGGCACCTGATTCTGAGGCTTCCTAAGGGAGAGGAGCATGGCTGCAAAACGCAGGACAGGAGCGGGGCTTGCTCCCTGGCAAATAATCAGGCCTGAATTGCAGCATTACTTGATACCTATCTTCAAGGTCAATGCGAATGAATAGACCTCTTTGGTTTCTTCCCTCAAAGCAAATGTTTCAGCCGTCTCTATTTTCCTCCTCAATTCAGAGTACGTTGGCCAGCCCCGTTTGAGCCATTCTGAAAGCAAGCCTGTATGCGGATATAATGGAAATTAAACCATTTCCATGAGAAATGGCATTTCTTGTTCAACCCCGCTTGCAAGAACTTAACTCAACTGACGGGCAGAAGAAGAAGAAGAAGAAAAAAATAAAGCTGTGTTTTTCAAAGAATGAAGACTGACCCATTATCCATTACAGAGAAGCCCGTGGAAGTCCAGAGCTTTTGGCTTCGGGCGGAACTAGTGAGTTTGAGGCTCATTTTTTTTCAATGGAAAATGTTCTTTCTTCTCTGCTGCTCACAGCAACTAGCTCACAGTGTGACACTCAAGCCAGACCTTTTGAAAATGATATTGTTCTAGGACTAGGGGTTTGGGAGAGACAAGAAAGATTTCAATGCAAGGATGAGGAGTTTTTTCTGTCCCCTTGACCAAAGCAAATGCCATCCACATCTCCAGTCCAAGGATCCCATCGTTACCGTGCTAAAGTCTGGCTGCCTGCTGCTAGAAAAAGTTAAAAATCGAGACACAAGGTTGGTGGAAAGAAAAGCAGGTTTATTCAGAATGCTGGCGTTCCGGGAGGATGGCAGACTCCTGTCCAAAGGCCATCTCCCATTCCTAGACAGGTCACAGGTTTTCTAGGTGCACAAGGAGAATCAGAACAAAGGAAAGGGGGAGTTAGTCACGTAACTCATCCGGGGGTTCGGTTTGTTCTGCGATGGTTATCTCGAATCCCCATCTTATGGGTGAGTCGTTTGTCATCTGACAGAATCGCAGTCCAGACTTGCATCCTGGTTGCCGGTGTCCAGAGGGCTGACTCAGTTTCTTGCAAGTTAGTGTTCTGCTGATTAGCTAGATTAACACGGTATGCATGTAGCCTCGGGAAAACAGAGCAATTAAATTGGGCAGTGAGAGAGAGACAGAGAGAAAACAGCTGAATAGCAAGCTATGAGGCGAATGAAGCTGTAGGCTAAGCTACTGATTTCTTAAGCTTCACCCTTACACCTTCCCTGTAGAGTAGCCCCTGCCCTCCCCGGCTTCTCCACAGGGGATGTGTTCCAACACCCCCAGTGGATGCCTGAAGCCATGGACAGTGTTGAACCATATATATGCACACACACACACACACACACACACTATGTTTTTTCATATATGCTCATACATGCCTTTTCACTTCAAGGAAGAACTTTGCAGCTTCTCTTTGGCATATCTGAATTGCCCACATCACTAATCTTGCTCTTTCTGGCCATTATTAAGTAAAATAAGGGTCACTTGAACACAAGCACTGCGATACCATGGCAGTCAATCCGATAACAATACGGCTACTAAATGACTAAAGGGCAGGAGGGCGCGTCTTCAGCTCAGAGATGCTGGACAAAGGGATGAGTCATGTTCTGGGTGGGTCGGGGTGGGATGGCGCAAGCTTTCATCATGCTACTCAGAATGGCATGCAATTTAAAACTTACGAGTTATTTATTTATGGAATTTTCCATTTAACATTTTCATATTGACAGCGGATAACTGAAACAGCAGAAAGCAGCAAAACCGCGGATACAGGGGCACTACTATATTCACTGTCCCCAGGTGGCAGCTTGCTAGATGTCATTAATGAAAGCCAAAGTTCCCTGCTTGCAAGCACCAGGTCTCACCTGCTACCCCATCTTTGCAGCAGCAGTCCCAGCCCTTTCTTCCTGGTAATCCTTCTCTGCCATCAGCTTCTCAGCTTCTACAGCATCAGAGGTCCGTGCCTGGGGGGTTGCATGCCTCCAGTGGCTATGCCATCCCCCCATCCATTTTCTGCAGAGGTTTCAACCCCCAAAATGCTTGGGGTGGGAGGCTGAAGAACGGGGGAGGGTTGGAGGCTTATGCAGGGATCTTGTTGCTGCTAAAGCCCAGAGTATGATTCCCACCTGCTACTTAGAGCAGTAGAAGGCCACAGCCTCCTCCTCCTGGACCTCTGACCACTTGATAAAAGCAGCAGAAGACGGACAAGCATTCCTACACCAATCTTCCCTTGGAGTTCAATGAATAGCCAGGACACACCTTCAATGTTTAACATCTCCAACTGTTACCCTTGACTGCCAGGAGGGACATTGTAACGGCAAGAGGGGCTGGGGGAGATGCAATTTCTTAACCCTGAGATTGGGGTGGCTTTATAAAATAGAAAGAAATGGATTGGATACTCACCTAGGGTAAATGCCGATAGTCTTGACACGCTGAATGGCCTTGGCGTTTATTTACATCAGCTAACAAAGATAATAAGGTATTTGCCCTTGCTCACACAGAAATCCTTGTCTTGCTCAGCACCCAATTGTTTGGAGGATAATTTTACTCTCAAGGATCCTCTCCCTGTGTTCACTGTCTCCAGGTGGGAACTCGCAAGGTTTCTTTCCTTCCTGGCAGCGTTTCCTGCAGCTAGAACTTACTCATCCAAAAACACCCTCACAGAAACACCCAGGATCATGTTTGACCTAGTATCTGGGCACCCCCTGGGCCAGTCAAATTCACATATGAACCTCACAATGGAGTAAGAGGCAGCATCGTAAGAACATCAGCTCTGGAGCCCAGCAGTCCAAGGTCAAGTTCCAGCTGTTCCTTACTAGTTGTGTGATTTCTAGGTTACCCTGCCTCTCTGGGGCTGCCTCAGTTGCCTCTTCAGGGAGATGAGGATAACAAGAATGTCAGCATATGTACATCGTCTGTGACGCATAGCAGGCATGAAAGCAGTAGTTCTGGATGCAAAAACTACCTTTTTTAAGGTTCAATTTGCCCTTTGCATTCAATGTACATCATCATTATTTAGGCAAAAGAGGCTGTTGGGCATAGAAAATACAGGAAGAAAAATGGAGCATTAATATCAAGAAAAAAAAGGAATGGACCAGAGGATATGATGTTGGCACAGATCTTGTTGGCATATTCTTACTCTTAAATTAGTAGGGCAGGATCTGGGGGCTTGGGGGTCGTATCAGAGTTCCTGGACGGTGTGGCTTCTTTCCTTTAATGAAATTGCTCCTTTATTTTCCCAGGGGGTCTGTGGGCCCATATTTACCTTGGAACCTAATGGCGGGGTAGCAGTATATGGACATGTTTCACATTATACGCATAAGTATTGGATGATCACGAAACCTAATACATTTGGGACCTGATACCATCATCCACCATAAAAGCAAAATATTTTCCCATCTAGAAATCAAGTTGGAAAACCTCTCTCACAGTTGGTTTAGGTTTTAAAAGCACAGTAATGGCTGCAAAGATGGCCTGCTCGTCCAGATAAGACTGGAGCCAACCTGACACCTCATTGCAGTACTGGTCCCTCTTCCAAAGTCCTGCTAGGCATGTGGGTGGTGTTAACAGCGTCCTCCTGGCATCTAGCCTGAACCAAGAGATCAGCCTAATGGTTAGAGAAAACCTAAATGGCACAACAAGAAATTCAGTGGCTGGGCTGGCCAGCTGCAACTGCTGGGGGCCAGCATGATGGCTCTCACAGAGTGTGAGATATTTGGGGTTTGGCAAACCCTAAGAAGCTGGCTGCCAAGCCCTGCTGCCTCCTTGTTCCCCTGGTGTATTTCAAAGGAAATTAAATCCACATGTTTCTGATTTGCTGACACTTAAAGCTCATCCAAAGGTGGTTTTGCAAGAGTGGTTTGGGCCCAAGAAGCCTAGAGAAACTTCAATTATTATTATTTTTCATTTTGAAATGCAGACCTGTACACTTGCATAATAAATGCCATGCCTACAAAACCAGAGCCCTGTTTTGCCTGCTGGAAAGGTTTCGTCCTGGGCCCACCAGAGACAGAGAATTGGAAGCAGCGAGAGAAGAGTGACTTTCACATCCAACCTGGAAATCCATCTTGAAAATGGCACTGTGAATGGCCCCTTTGGATTGGGCTGCACCTGAGAACTGTCAAAGCTAGAGTTCAAAAATCTATGCACAGGATGGATTGAGTCTATCGATTTCGTTATTTCCTGAGATTCTGGCCAAGGGGACAAAAGCCTACATTCAAGATGGTGTCCACAGTAGGTCCTGGGAACTCAGGTCCAAGGATGTGGGGCGTGGGACCTCGAGAGCAAGAGGCCATCACAGAGGCGTTCTGAATGTTCTGAAGTGTTCTGCCATGTCCCTGAATGAAACCAAGACAAGCGGCAACCCAAATTCTGCTTCAGGGAAATAGAATCACATTATATATACTCCGGCTGCTCATGTCACTTCTCCCAGCCCTGAGCCATCAACTGCTTGATTGGCACTTTACGTGGTGGTCTCCCTCACTGGAATCCCCCAGCTGCTAGCTCAGGGTCTGGTACATGGTAAATGTGCTTTAAACCTTTGATGAATGAGGCGATGAGACTGAGATGAAGAACCAGAAACGAGTCAGCCCTCCCCCAGTTTCGCGCCTGGCTCCTGCTGTTGCGTTTTCTGGGCGTGTGTGTACACTCCTTATTCCTTCTCGCCCTAGACCTAGAGCCTTCACCGTGCTCCTCCCACTCCCCATATTATAAATCCAGGTAACCTTGCTTAGCAGGTCAGCTTAGATGGCCCTTTCTTGGGGAGCCTTTTGCTTTCCAGCCCAGTTTGGGGTGTGTCCCTCAGGGATGTGCTTCCCTCCATCCTCTGAACACTCGATACATATTCATGTTCAATTAAGTACAAGGTCAGCTGCACTGCCTCCCTTCCCATCAGCCTGCGGGCTCCTGGAGGCCAGGAACCACGTGTGCCTCCTTCATCCTCTCCCCAGCGCCCGGCACTCAGAAGCTGGTATGAGTTCACTGACAGACTTCTCACTTGAGCCCTGCAGCCAGCCTTTGCCACCAAGACAGCTCCTTTCTGGGAAATGTATAAACTAAGAGCAATGGGAGTGTTTTCAGACACTTTGACACCAGTACCCACTTGATTTAGCTTAAACCATACCACAAATGGATGGCTTAAAACAATAGAAATGTATTGTCTCACAGTTCTGGAGGCTGGAAGTCGGAGATTGGGGTGTCAGCAAGGTTGGTTCCTTCTGAAACTGTGAGGAAGGATCTATTCCAGGCGTCTCCCTTAGCTTCCGGTGGCTGCTGGCAATCTTTGGCACCCTTTGCTTGTAGAAGCATCACCCCAGTCACTGCCTCCATCATCACACGATGTTTCTCCTCTTGTGCACATCTGTCTCTGAGTCCAAATTTTCCCCGTTTATGAGGACGCCAGTCATACTGGACTGGGGGCCACCCTGATGACCTCATCTTAATTTGATCATCGGCAACTACCCTATTTCCAAATAAGGTCACTGTCACAGGTAATGGGGGTTAGGACTTCAACATCTTTTGGGAGACACAATTCAACCTATGACACCACTCACTCTTCTGGTAAAAAAAGAAAAAAGGCTTAAAATTGACATTGAAATACAGTAACTATTTAATTTACAGTGCACACTGGGACTTTTTTTGAGAATGAAAGGGGCACTGTTAATACTTTTGCAGGGACAGCAGACCAACTGCCCCAGGACTGTCCCAGGCTGTCCGTCTGGGCAGTGTGCGGCCAGGCTCCTCGCCAGCCTCCTCCTGCACGGATGCGGCGTACCTTCACTTCAGATCCCTCTTTGTTTGTGTTCCCAGCGAGTCCAGTCTGTTTTATACACAGTCACAGCGAAACCAGAGGATTAGCTGTATTCCGGCTGTCGTTAATTCACGGTTTCCCATTACCAAATGCAAGCCCAATCTCAGCATTAATTTGGCCAGATCAAATCAGGCCCTCTTACACCTGTTCCCCTGTTTAATTAGGCTCTAATCTTCCCGGGAGAGTTGGAGGCTCCGGGGACCATTACCTAAAGCCTTAGATTAAGAGGGCAGCGTCAGACACCCCATCATCGCCATACTGCACAAGCGATACCCCTGAAACAGCTCCAGCCCTCAGTCTAGAAATTCGCCTTGACAACTGTGAGCACCCCCAGCATGGCTGGGGAAACGTTGCCTCTTTTTGTTACAGACTTCCTTTCATCTCCTCAGAAGGGAAGGAAATGTTCCCAGTGGTGCTTCTTTCTGAGGTAATTGTTGGACAGGAGTCAGCCAGTGAAAGCTGCCCCTCTAATTAACAGAGTCTGTTATGATTTATCAGGATAATGAGGTGGGGAACAAAGACATCAATTTTTTTTTCCCCTTCCTGATATTTTGGCCTCTTTTCTTCCTTTTGGAAGATGACCCAACGTTAATGAGAAACGAGTCACTTATGGTTGGAGTGCAAATAGAGATAAATGACATCAGTAATTAAGTCTCAAGCTCTCTTCGGAATACGGAGCCATTTGTCAGGCAATATTATTCAATGAATTTGTCCTGTTAGGGCTGCCACATTGCTCCAAATCCAGCCATTCGACCACCAGTGGCAACAATGTGTATGATACAAAAATAGAATAGCTAAAAAGGCATAGTGAACCCAAGAAGAAAGCATCTTAACCACCACAGGAAGCCTAGCTAGAAGCATTTGACTTGAGAACATGTAAAGTGATTACAACCAGCCACATACCTCTTCCCATCACAGGTTGAACAAATGCTCTGGGTGTTCCTCAGTTCATATACCTAGGAGGGAAAAGGGGGATATCGGATTGGTCTAGTTCATCTTCTCCACCTTATCAGTGGTCATTGTCAAGGTCTCTGGTCAGCTGCCCATCTGGAGCCAGAGAAGAGACAAGGTGACATGAAATGTGACTGTCAAAAGGCCAAGTGTCAGGGCAACAAACGGAAAGGAAGGCTTCCAGACGGCAGCTTGCAAACTGTATGGCCGGGTTTTGTCTGCTTTCTTGCCTCTCTTTTGTCAGAGGGGAATCCTGACCCTCTTCCTGCCCATCCATTTTCTCACTGCTCACAATTCAAGTTAATTCTGTCTCCACTGACGCTGGTGTTGATAAAAAACAAACCCACATTCTCTTTAATTCCCTTTCTTTGTCGGCTTTCCTTTTCAACTCTTGCCAACTTGTCTCAGAATTCTTTGCCTCCCTCCTAATGAGGAATCTGCCTTCAGAAAAAGAGAAGGTATTAGTCCAGAACCACATTTAAGAAAAACCTAACTAAAGGAATCAGTGTCGTGACATTCTTAAGAGAAAGGCCAACCACTCCTTCATAACCTCGACAAATCCCCCTTTCCCTCCTTACCCACCTCCAAATCAACACGTCCTTCCACCACCAATATTAGTATAAATAAAATACTACTATCTCTGTGTTTCACTTATGGCTTTAATCTGTGATCTTCTCTGTTCACTGTGATGCAGCTATGTTTCAGCTGGGTTCAGGATTAAATATGCTCCGTTTGCTGGCATGGGAACCATTGTACCATTCCCAGGAAAACAGCTTGCATTCCAAACAGCAAACTTCCAAAATCAAGAACATAATCTGTTTGTAAGCTGGCTTCCTACACAGTGCTAGCCCCTATTCTCACCTCTTGTTTAGCCAAGTAATCTTTTGTCTCCTGAGCCCATTCTCTGGACAGGAGTGTGAAACTGACATTGAAGGCCACCAAAGCTCCAAAGCCAAGGTGAGACAGAAAGGGCCCAGGGCCGTGGTTCTCAAACTTGAACCAGGATCAGAATCACCTGGAAGGCTTGTCTGAACAGAAGACCTGGGCGGGACCCAAGAACTGGCATCTGTAACCTCCCTTACAGTGGGAAATGTGCCTTCAGAAAACGATGGTCTCATCCAGGGGCCACACTTTGAGAACCTCTGGCCTAGACTGTACAGGTACAGAGAAGTACAGGGAGGTAACTAGATTTTCAGAGTCCTCAGAGTCCAGCCAATCACCTGGCTGATGCAAAGGCCACCCTTCTATCAGTAAAATCACGACAGAAGCAAAGAAGCCCTTCCTGGGCCTCCGCCTTGACCTATATAGGCAGAGACCATGCCCTAGAGTGACATCAACAATTTCCTGGGACTAAGCCAGCATCGCCTGCGGTTTTAGAATTAGATCTAGAAATAGCGCAGAAGACTCCCGAGATGGTGAGATTTTTGAATGTGAAAATATTCTGTTTTGTTCTCTCTCTGCTTCTCCTGGATGTCACACATGCTCTCAGATGTTCCACAGGTTTGACAAAGCTTGGGGATCTTCTCCTACCATTCTTCATGGAAGACACTCATAAACCGGTGAGAGATGGAGGGGGACCTGACAATTCTAACTCTCCATACTGTGATTCCAGTGGTCATCTGGCACAGGATTTCCCAAACTTCCCTTTGAACCCTTTTCACGGAGATGTATTATACAATACAACCAACCCCTTAGCAATTCGCATCCACGTCTTCATTCTACTGTATCATTTTAGTGTTTTAGCCTGGGTTCCTCACAGAAAGCAGAGCCTGTGACAAGGGCTTTTGGGAAGGAAGGTTGTTCTGGAGAGAGATCCCAGCAGACAGGAGTCAGGGGTAGCGGGGAGTGAAGCAGGGAAGAAGGGAGAAAAGGTGCTCCCGTGATCCATCTCATGTCCTATGAGCACCCGCTAAGGAGCGGTATAGAATGCACATTAGAATTTTCATCATGAGGGCAGAAAAAGGGAAGCATTATCCCACAGCCTCCCATTCCCTTTAGAGGATTTTCTCATGGGGTGTTGAAAACTTCCAGTTGCACAGGCATAACACCAGGATACCGTCTCAGAGACGCCCAGGGCAGAAAGGGAGATACATGCTGCAGCTGAAAGGAGGCGCTGGCTAGTACACCTGTACAAACAAAGCTGGTTGCCCCAGCAATGGCTGGCATCAAAAGTGGGCCAGAAGGTGAGAGACATGCACAGACAATTCCAATATTATAGGGAAAAAACAAAAAAACTGGGAGTAAAAATATTTTATATTTTATCCACATATATTATAAACCTCATATTAAAATAATCTGTAATATTCAATATGTTTAAAAATTTAATCAAAGGTGAGGGTTAACGTAGAATTTCAATAGTGCATGTCTAAAGCCCATAAACCTTACAATGTGCCCTATTTCTAGAAACTTCTACCATGTCTGTGCCCAAAAGCCACGAGGAAACAGTGACTAAACAAAAAATTTCATGATAACCATTTCGAAGCCATCAGATGCAGGGGGGAAATCAATAAAAGTGTTGTTTTCTGTTAGCAGCTTGATGCTCACAGGTTGAAATTAATTAGGAGTTGAGGCACCAAAATTGCTTTCACAACCTCATGTCTGAAATTCTTATATTTTGTGCTTAAAAAATCAACTAGCTGCTGTTTATAATCACTTTGGTACAATCATTTGTTCTTTATAAATGAAAACCAAAATTAGAGATAATTGTCACTCACTATCTTTTCTTTCTGTAACACTAAGTTTCTGAGGTCCAAGGGCATCTTTGGAGGGATAGATTTTCATGACAAAAAGACTATCTTCTTTTATATCTTATATTTATTTATATTTTATACCTCTTATGAGATAAAGTGAAGGTTATCATCAGGCAATTTATTGAATTATTAACATGAATTTCAGCATCTGTGTTGTTAAAGTTTCTAGTTTTCAACAAATGATCCATTCAGGATATAGACCAAAGAACATACGGCTAAGAATAAAGGCCATTTGAAACTGTACAACGGGTTACAAGCATTGCGGTTTCAGCTCACAGTTAAATTGACTGGGGTCAACCCATGAGCATGCTCAGTTGAGCAGCCCACCCTGCTGCGCATGCGGACATGATACCCTCTGTGGGGCTCACGAATCGTTCTGAGATGAAAGATGGAAGTGTTTAAATACGTTCTAAAAACCTTCTTTCCCTGAAATTTCAAAAAATATGCAAAAATACAGAAAATACAACAATGAGCCCTCAAATACCCCACCCAGTTCAATCGTGATGGTCAATCTTAATTACGTTTTAATTTTTTTTTCTTTTTTAAAAAACTTAAACAGGCATCATTTTTGCTCCTAAAAACAGGAAACGCTGGAAGATTTTCATGACCCCCTGAGGGTTTGTGACCTGTTGGTTCTTTGGTTCACTGACCTTGTTCAATCCTCTCTTTATACAAGGGAATGCTATGCTTCGCCCATTCTCTCCGGCTATCTCTCATGCTTGCAGCAAATTAAGTGGACTCTGTCTATGATTTCAGCAATGGTGACATATAATCCCAGTGTTAAAGGATGGAATTTTCCAATGCAAGAAGCAGCAGACAACGAACAGAGGAAACGTTGCCATGAGCAAAGGCTCCTCAACACAGTATCTCCAACTGTGCCACAAAGCAACCCAGCATTTGGATGAAAAGAAGAAAAAAAAAAACACAAAACCTGACAATGAAGTGATTGTTCTCCCTCCACAAGCAATCCTACTATTTCTAACCCCTCAATGGGCTATGCTGGCAGCAGGCAGACATCGCTTAGGTCTTCCTCAAGTAGCTGGCAACCCTGAAGGCAACGGGGAAGGACTCGTTTCTCAGGAGACGGAGATCCCACAACAGGATTGCAGCCACTATGACCTTTCCTCAGAAACAAACACAGGGATGAGCAGGGCAGCTACTCACCTTGTCTCATTTGTTCACGAAGAAGCCAAAGCCAGCAACATGGATCGGCTTTCTCGCTTTTTGTCCAACTACTTGCCTGCTACTCTAGAAAAATAACCAAGGTCTGCCAAGAATCGGCAATCTCCTAAATCTCAAAATAATGACTAGTCCATCCAGTGTTTCCATCCAAGGAATTGTTGGTTCCTATACAAGAAAACCCTTTGGGATGAGAGTCAGGAGTCCAAGAAAGGCATGTGGTTATTTTTGCCACACTTTGGAAAAAAAGGGGAGTCTATTTTTGACATCGGCTATTCAGCTTTTAAATAACATCAGCCCAGAAAGCATACCTAATTTAAATGTTGATTCCAAATTTTGCTTAACTATAAGGCTTTTTGGGTCTCCTCCTATTCTGCTCCAAGCACC